AAGGTCAAGTTTTCTATATAAATGAGGGGTCCCAGGCAGACAGAGGGGAATTTGGCCAACTGTGTTGTGACAGTCAAATATCACAGCTTAGAACAGTCGGGGATTGCTTGTAAGACAGTCATTTTTAATGAGCACACCTGCAATTCCCAGGCTGGAGTGAAAAGAGAAGGAAAATTAGCCCAATAAGGAAGGTCATAGTTGGAGATTGGGCCCAATGACAAGTTGGTTTGGGGCAGTTTGGTATTGCCCATAAGACAGTTGTTGCTAAAGAGCATACCTCAATTTCCCAAATCAGTGCAAAAACAAAGACACATACAGAAGTGAAGAATTGAATGAGTGTTGATTGACTGGTTATTACTTTGAGCAATTGAGAAATAGTTGACCGACAGAAGAATTTAGTGAGAATCGATAGACAAGTTATTATTTTGAAGGAAAGAGCTAGAGTTGATTGTCTGACATTTACAGTTAGATTAATTTCATATACCCATCATGCAGTAGAATACTTGATTTGCAGCTAATAGACACATTTTATTCAACCAGTTTTTCTTTATATTCAATAAACCTGTTGTTAGAATTATCAATAGTGTTGTGTATTTTATTGAAGGAGTTCTTATTCCAGCCTGATTTCCAATGTGCACTTGAATGTAAAGTTTACCACAGGCACTGGCAGGAATTATGCAATCTTGTCTGTGATACACAACATGCATAAGGGGTTCACACTAGATTTTGCCATCAATCCTAATATTGTAGGATTTTGGGAAACCTGAATCAAACCTCTTGAGAAAACCAAATGAGGAGAGAAAAGAAAGCTGGATGATCCATAAGGTTGGTATTATTTAACATGACTAGTGACTGAGAGAAAAACAAGAAGTAAAGATCGGAGCAGGGAGAGTGTGGTGTGTGAGTTGAGAAGCGATAGGTGTGTTGTCAGATGCAACAACATTTTTATGTGTTATAATACTAGTATATTTTCCCTTATTTCTCACAAAATATTTCCAAAAAGAATTTCAATTCTGTATAAATGAGCAATTTGTGTAAATACAAATCTGATGGTTTAAGCTTCTTGAATGTAGGTCTTAAATATCTATATCATTAAAACTGTAATAATAAGGGTACGAGGCACACATTTATAAATGTCTGAACCAAGTTTTCTTTTATCCTAATAAGAGAAAATAATTTAATTTCCTATTTGTTAAATTCTTTTTGGCATACTCTAATATGCACTTTCATGAAGTATTTGAAAAGCTATTCATTGCCAACTGTTTCAACTTGCAATCCAGTACTCGAGTAATGTGTTTTCCCCATAAATTTTATTCTATATATAAATAGAGCATAAATGCTCACAAGATACAGTTACTGAAAAAGATGAAAGGTCAAAGTTGGTTATATTTTAAGTTACTGATGTGCTGATAGAAACATAACTTACTTCAAGCACTTATAGTTGTATATTGGTTCATGTGCTGGTCATACAAACTATTGAAAGTGAGCTGAAAGCCTACAAAATGTTTGAAATGTACTCTAAGATAAAGTTGTTCTCATCCAACAGAAACCATAGAGCAATGATTAGTATCACAAAAGAAGGTTTGTTATTTTTTTCTTTGCAAGGTGCTCTAGAGAAATGCCCTTATGACAATGTTGTCTTTGTTTAATTCACATAGATGGACAATGAGCACAGTTGACAAACACTGTACAACAGTTAACATTAAAATATAATGAAAAGTCAATAAAACAATATAAAACCAAAAAATATCTGTTCTTATTGTTTAATAACATTATATACCAGGAAAATAATTTTGAGGGCTAAATGTGGACTGTAAGTTAAGCTTTCTACTTTGTTTCCTAACAGGCCTGTTTTAGAGTATAATATTGTAAGTCAGAGTTTAATTTCATTTTTGTTTACTCAAGATAATTATAAATCAGTCTAATATCAACAGAAATATATGACTAAAAACACCTAAACTCTATTTGCAGGTTTTTATGACAGTTTACAGCCAACAATGTAAAAAATATAAGGATTTGTGAGTTATCAGTTAATCCAGAAATAGTGCTTCATCTTATCCTTTACTTTCTCCAGATTATCTTATTGATCTTTAGTACATTGTGTCAGGATAATTTTAAAGACATTTTTCTGATTGACAGTAAATACAGTTAAAGTGCTGATGTATTTATGTCATTTATCTGAGCAATTTAACTTACAAAGAGGTGCTGAAAAGTTCTTGCCCTAACCCATTTTCATTTTGTCACTATAGCCGAGTATTTTTTATAATGTAAAGTGCTAATTTTCAGGCTACTTGTGTTAATTCTTATTTCAGGTCATGTAAACAAATAAGTGAAAAATCATGTCAAAAGTAAAAATATGGATTACATTAGTCATCTTGCTTTTTCCTGGAAACTTTCAATTGTTGCAAATACAAAATAAATATTGACTGTAAAATATATTATCTTAATAGATTTACTACATTATTTATATTAATTTTATAGTTCTATTTTTTATATAACTTTTTAATGCATTTTTATGATAGTATATCATATAAGTGGGAACATGTATACACATGTATAAAAAAAGAAATATTGTGAAAAATCTATTATGAACAGTACATTCCCCAAGTACCTTTTATTAAGAAATAATTTAATATATGGAATGTATTAGAATACAAAAAATTAGTAATAACCTTCATTTAGGAATATTCTTAAAACTATTACATACACAGATAATATCTGATGTCAAATTCTGTAACTTCATAATAGATTTTTAAATTCCAATATAGAAATTTAAAAGTATTTTTTTTTGCTTTAGTGAAATGAGAAATTTCACTGAAGTAAATTATATACCAATTTTACATAAGCATATGTTAAACCTCAGGAAGGAAGCTTTTTTTAAAGAGAAAAATGAGACTAAATACAAGACAATTAGAGACCTGCTTTTTAATTACTCATCAACTAACTTTAACAAATATGATTTTCAATTTTAGCAATGTATAAATTTAAATTTGTTGCTTGAGATGAATATACTAGCTAGGATATAAGTTTATATTACTAATAATTATTATTTTTTTATTCTTTGTAAAGTTATAGATTTTTTTTCCTTCAAATCTTCCACCTGTATATGTTGAAAAAAAGTTCTTACAAAATATCCAGTTTTGTACTTAGTACTGCTTATTTCATTCTTTATATGCAAATTTAAATAATTTTTCTGCATTTTGTCCATCTGTGTTTCTTAATCTGTTGAAATTGCAAAATATTAAGAAGCAGGTCTCTTTTATATATGATTTCTACACAAAAAGAAATATATAAAATCTTAAACAGTTAATTTCAGTCATGCATTAAAAATATACAATATATTTTAAAATAGCTCCCATTTTTGTTTTTAAATGTAGAAATTCAATAATTTATTTTCATTAAACTTATTTAAATTGTTTTATCTTTAACTATCACATAATCAAGCATTCAAAATCCTCTGAATTATTGAAAATTAGTGTTTGAAATATTTATTATCTATTCAAGTTCCATACCCTCTTCAGTTGGGATTAGGAAAATGGTAAAGGATTTTTTGAGGAAATCACTAGCTTTAAGAATAGCTTTATTGAATAACGAAAAACTACATGAGGTAGACAACTGTTAAGGTAGTTTTGAAAGATTTACAAAATTATAAGTATATTTTCTTCTTACTTACAAAGATACTATTTTTTTGAGGTAATTTTTTTTTTAGTATATATTAGATAAGCAAAGAAAAATTTATTTGATTTTTTTCTTTATTTTCTATATTACTTTGAATAGAACATTACTTTGGGCTCTCTGTTAAAGCTATTCATTTCAAATTTTATTTATTCTTTTAATGGTAAAGTAAAAACTTTCATTTCATAAAAGTGTATGATTTGTTGAAATATGAGATTTAGAATATAACCAAATAAAAAATTTAACTGTGAAGAAAAGAAAAAAGTTGGGTAGCCTTCTTTTTTATTTCCTAAGGAAACAATTTTTGTTCAGGGGAAAAATGTTTAAAAAGGTACAAACATGTAATCAACTGAAATTTTTATCTAAATAAACAAAAAGACATTAAAATAAGTGTAAAAAATCTGAAATAAAAAGTTAAAAACAAAACAGAAAAATTATAAAGTGAAAAAAAAAAAGACCAACAATAACATGTTACAAAAAGTTTTTTCCTTTCTTAAAAAAAAAAAAAAAAAAAAAAAAAGACAGAGGAAGAGAGATAAGCTTAATTATAAGTAAATGTATTATAAAACCACTTTCTATCATTGTCAAAATTAGGTGGGCTATAAATTTATTAGATTAGCTTGATTGGCAAGTATGGATTTCAAACATTGAAAATAATTGAGATGAGAGAGGATAAAAAAGTAAAAAAAAAAAAATTTTTTCCTCCCAACCCACCCAGATAGTTTTAAATAAACATTTTTGTTATAAATGAGAAAAAAAACAAAAAACTTTTGTCTTCATCAGATGTTTCACATAACCAGAATGATACATATATTTCTAATTATATAGATGATCAGTTGGAAGATTGATAATTTGATATACATTTGTTCAAAAAGACAAAATTCTAAAAAATAGTTCTTCATAAGTTTTATATTTTAATTTTCAAATTTATGTTTAACTAATTATTTTGTTTTTCCTTCCATATAAATGTCAGTGTATTTTTAAGGGAAGGCAATGAATGCATTTTTAGCAAAATGCATTCATTGCAAACTAAATCACATGATCTTGCTCTCATCCCATAATATTTTTGTTAAGTCAGACAAATTTTGTTGAGACCTTATCAGGATTTTTCTTTGTACAGCAGAGACCACTTTATTATATTTTTTTTCTTTAGTTTGGAAAAACACATGAGCAAATCTTTCATATCATTTAGTGAGATACTGCCAATTGGGACAGTTTTGCATGGGTGTTATTGAGTTGGACATCTTTGTTTTATATTCATGGTTATAATGAATTAATTTTTTATTTATTTTTTTTACCATTTCATCCATGAATTTTAATCCCATTCATCCAACATAATTTGGTTCTACTGAGACAAAATAGTCATCAAAATAGGAATGCAAATATGCAAATGTAGGACGTGAATCAATATTCTGGTTCCAACAAAGCAACATCACTTCGTAATAAGAATCTGGACATTCACTTGGATTGGTTGGTTTAGGCATTCGATAGCCACGATCCACTTTGTGGAGCACCTCATTTCCAGTCATTCCTAAAAATGAATACATGTATACAATTACTATCATTATTATCTATACATAATAACTAAAAGCAGCACATTTACATTTGGGTGAAGGAGAGTAATTGTAACAAATTACTTCAAATCAGTGTTTTTTAAAACAAGGAGTGGATAATAAAAAAAAATCAAATTAAAATTTTAAAATGTATTTGATAAAATCTGAATAAGAAATTTATGACAGGTATTTCTACAAAAATTCACCTCTCAAAGAAATAAACATTTTATTTCAGATTTTTTTCATATGACTATTGAATAAGCACTCCAGATCAAATATATAAAAAATGTTTTTTTTTAGCAATTGAACCACGTCCTCTTAAAACTTAGAAAAGTTTTAAGAGGGATGGTTTAATTTGCTATGTAAATTCATCATAAACTGATCCCACCTACACATGCACAAAAATATGCTATCAAATATCACATAATAAAGCATATTCTTTCTTAAAAAAATTCAAATTAAAAAAAAAGGTTAATACTCATATTAAAGTATATTCTTATATTCCTGTGTTGTGCTAAAACAATTCTTACATACAAGATTTCACAATTTCAAACAGACATGAAATATGAATTTAAAGCATATTCTTACTTACTTACTTACTTTTTCCCTTTATTTTTAATTATTTCTTTTAATTAACATTTATTTTTTGGGGCTTTCATAGAGGATTAATTTATGATCCCCTATGCAAACTTAATCACACTCTTAAAATTTAGAAATTAAAAAAAAAATTAATATTTGTGATTTGGAGAGCTTAATTGATGTTAATAAGAAAATAATTTAAAAAAAAAAAAAAATTCTTGGATAGGTATGTTTAGTGTAGAAATGCCCTATGATGTTCACAAATTAAGAATTAAGTTAATGAAAATGAAATGTTATATACATCAAATCAAATGTTTCTTAAAACATGAGTGAATTTTCAATAAAAGACTTTTTATTCACAAACTTTAAATACTTTAAAAGCAACAATAAATTGCATCACAGATATAAACACATTTTGTTTTTAAATCTTTTTCTAATGAAAAAGATATTAACACCTTCAATTATTTGACACTTTTGTCTGTTCTGTTAAAAACTTTTGGCAAATGATATTGAAAATTTTTATGAAAAACCTTTTGCAATGTGACACTAAGCAAAACTCTTAAAACCCCAAATTTACCTGGATAAGGTACACGTCCAAAAGTAATGATTTCATACAGCAGAACACCAAATGACCACACATCTGATTTTATGCTAAATTTTCGTTCAAATGCAGCTTCTGGAGCTGTCCATTTTATAGGGAATTTCGTATCTACAAAAAGAGAAAAATATGAAAAATACACATCCAACTAAAATACTAAATTACTACAGCACAGCAATAGATCTAAAAAATATTAGCAATTTATTGTGAAAGTTTTAGAAAAAGAGCAACATCTATACATACAGGCAGCTAAAAAAAAAACAAAAAACAAAGCTACTCCAACAAAAACAACAATTCAGGTGTCATACATAAAAAAACAAGCAAATTTGTAATACTGCATCTTCATAAAAAAATAAAATAAATGAATAAAAAGCATAAATTGCTGAACTAAATGCACTTACTTTCCTGAGCTTCATATATTTCATCAGAAATTAACCGTGCCAGCCCAAAATCTGCCACTTTCACGGTATTATTGGTTCCAACTAAAATATTGGCTGCTCGGAGATCTCTGTGTACAAAATTACTATTCTCCAAATAAGCCATTCCATCAGAGACCTAAAAAAGAAAATCATTAATAAATCAGTGTTTGTTGTGTATCTTTATATGTATAATAAAATACTGAGGAAAAGTAAATATGTTGATTAACTTATATATAAATGGTAAGTGTCATTTTTTAATAACTTAAATTTATAAAACAAGATATTTCATTACAATATTAGTGTAAGCTTATTTTACATTTTTTGTAAGTTTAATATAAAAATAAGGAAAACTCATAAGATATGCCAAGAGAGTTATGTCAATTAGTTTCTGGCATCTGGTGAAACCAGTGTAAACACTGGCTAGGTTGCTCATTGCATATTGACATGAGTTAATAGAAGTTGAAAGGGGTAGAATAGTGGGTGTCAGATGGATGAGACTGTCCATTTTTGAAACTGTGGGGATATTCCCTCAGTCTGCAGTGTTACATGTGTACCAGGAATACCTGATATAGGATATCAGTGGCCAACTATGGGTTGTTTATGATTGTGGCATCTGACTAGAATCTACTCATAATAGAATTGATGCCATACCAAACTACTGTACTTTGCTGTGTTAGAAGGCACCCTAAAACAATACTGAACACCTAACCCATGACTTTTGTGATAACAGACAATCAGTACTAGCTCAAATCACATCTGTATTCAATGCAGGTGTTATCAGATGCATAACGAAAAGGTCAGTTCAGTGTTCATTAGCTTTCATGGTATATGGGAGCAGAAGACTCCTATTAACACTAGAACACTGTAAATGGTGCCTCACATGAGTTTGTGAATTACTAATTGGGGAAGTCTACCAACATGTGATATAGTTTGATGTTCCAGGATGATGGTCCTGGGTTTCAGTCGTCAACAAGGTACCATGCAGCCTAGTGATGATTATGTAAGGTTTACATAACATGTGTTAGGTCCACTGGTTCATCTAAACTGATGACCACTACATTTCAATGTTTCACAAGCATTTGCCCCATTCATGAACTCCATGTACCCCAATAATGACAGGTTATTCCAACAGGTCGCCTAGAATTAGTTCTAAAGATTTCCAACAAATGGTATGGCTAACACTTTTCATCAATCAAGCATTTATAGAACAGGGTGGGACAATCTATATGCATTCAATATACTCCACCTAAAAATATCAGGGATCTGTGGACAGCTATCAAGACAGCATAATATCTCTCTAGAAATTTTCTGACCACTTGCAGAATTGATGCCATGCCAAACTGCTGTACTTTACTATGTTAGGTGTCCTACACAATACTAGACATCCAAGCCATGACATTTGGCATGTCAGTTTACAGAGCAGATGTGAAAACCTTACCTGAGCAGCTATTTCCACCAAAGTTTGGATGGTAAGTCGATTGGGGCTGCATTCATTTTTTCTTAGGTAATCCAGCAGTGCACCATTACACATAAGTTCTGTAATTATGTAGATTGGTTCTGTAGTACTACAGACAGCAATCAGTTGCACCAGTTTTCGATGTCGTAATTTATGCATGATGTGAGCCTCTCCAAGGAATGCCTCAGGGGACATTGTGCCTGGTTTCAGCATTTTCACAGCACAATCCACTGAATTTTTCCACTTACCTGTACAAGAAAGAAAAAGATTTTACATTGAGTTCATGAGGCAAAAAATATTTGTGCTGATGAAATCATAAAAAATTAAGTTGCTTTTTATTTAAGGCAGCCTAGGCTTTTCGCTATGCGGGATTTTTACATCCTTTTGAGTAGAATTTATTTTTTCCTACGTATGTAAAGGATTCGGCAGATTTTATTGATTCACTTTGTTTGCATTGAGAGTTGTTGGTTGAATTCAATTTTAGAGGCAATGACAGAGTCCAGCATTTTCTAGATGATGTAGGAGAACTGTGACATTGGTAATGGTGTCAGCAGTGATAGCTTGGTCATCTCCATAGTCAATGTTAGTCAACTTTTTTGCAGAATATCAACTTGAGAGTCTTGGTAATAGAGTAAAACCTAGATGATGATATTTGTTGGGGGAAGTTCTCAGTACATAGTCAAGGGTGATAACAAAGAAAAAAGGTACAAGCGTGTAATCCTGAAGGACCCCAGCTTTAATGTTGAAGTAGATAGTGTCCACCTGGGGATCTAACCAAAGATTTGGTATTTTTGTATAGCATCATTATGGCAACTACTGTCTCTGGGAGAGAGGGATGCCATATACCAAAAGGATCTCCATTTTTCCCATATGTACAGAATCAAAGGCTTTAGAGAAATCTACAAAAAATAAGGCAGCCTGCAAATTCTTTGCCCTGATGCCATCAATAATCTGATGAACAGTCAAGATTTTGTCCACCAGTTGATCTATTTTTTTTCGAAAGCTATTTTGATTTTTTCAGAGCATCTTCTGTACTTCAGGTTGTATTCTGTTGAGTTGTAAATTTGTGCTGCAATAGAGGTGAGTGCAGATCCTCTATAATTTTTTGCTAGATCTCTTTTCTTTTGGAAAGGAAGTATGCAACTTTCTGTCCATCTTTCTATGACTTCTCAATTATATGGGGTGTTACAGAGTTGGAGTAGAATATCATTGAAATCCTGGGTCTTCCAAACCTCAAGAGGAATGTTATCAAGTCTTGCTGCTTTCCTATTTTTAGTATTTTTTAAAGCCATTTCATGCTCTGCATTTGTAAAATTTCCTGGTTTAATGTCAAGGGATGTTCAATGATTTGCTTGATTTCAGTATCTAAAATGTCAGGTACATTTTTCAAGAGATTTTTAAATTGATCTTGCTCTTTATTCAGCATTTTAACCTGACTATTGACCTTTAACTTGGATTTGTTGATTTTCTGCCACTGATCTTATTGACTAAGCAAGAGAAGATTGGTTGTTGGCAGCAGCAGAGTTGATGAGCCAATTTCTTTCCTGTATGTATTCAGCTTGTTGATCTTCATAAGAGTTCTTGAGTTGAAATCTTGGATAGGTTTAAAGGATGGATTTGAATTTCTTATGGAGGATTTTTCACATTAATTTGTAATTCAATGCTATTTGATTCCCAAGGAATGTGTTGCTGATGTTTAGGTTTTAATGATATGATATCTGCTGCAGTCTTTTCAGAAGAAGTAACAAAATGGAGGTGGTTATCTTATAATTAAAATAAATGAATGTAATACAATAAAACCAGTTACTAGAAACAAACCATCATAGAAAACTTTAAAGTAAATTATACAGGTTAATTAACTTATTAAGAAAGATACTGTCTGATAGCTATGAGAATTCGTGAGAGTACACAAGGAAGAAGGACAGTGTTCATTTTTGGAATGTTGTGCTGTTTTTCAGTTGGCAGAGACTTGGACAGTTAGAAAGTGATTATTTGGGTCAGTTTCACATAAGTTATTTCGGCAAAAATGACCTAAAACTTATTCCCGAGTTTGACAGCTCTGCACCTGGACCATCTGTGGTGATTTAGAAGATTGAGCTAGTCTGTAAGATATGCCTGGTTAAATGTCCAGAACACGTAATCCCTTTAAGGCTAATGGGTGGTGTGTTTGCTGTCTACCAGCAGCTGAGAGAAAAAGAAAAGGAGGTTTTCAGCCAGATAAAATCTGCACTGTACACAGCTTTTGTCTCAGACAGTTTTCTGGCTTATGAGCAATTTGCTGAGTGATGCTTCTGTCCCAGAGAATCAGTACATGTCTATCTGGCAGAGTTACGAAAACTTTCCATCCTGTTTGGCGGAATGAGTAACCGTTGTCTGGCATGTACATTCATGTGAGGATTACCAGACCGAGTTAAACACCTTTTTTGCACTTCGACCCAGATGGACAAGTTGAATGCAAGCAATTATGAAAGATGAAGTATTGGAAGAGAGACTGGCAGTTGCAGCAGTGTGAACAACACAGGATGAGGCAAGGAAGCTTCCCTCTGGGGATCCATGTAGCTCCAATACATGCTACCGTTGCAATGACCCCAACCATTTTGCAAAGGATTGCAAGGAATCACATACTGAAAGGCAGACACCCTGGATGCAATGTTACAAGTGCAATTACTGTTTGCATCAATGGAATCAGGAGTTCAGCCTTGTTAGACACAGGCTATTCTTGATCACTCATAAGCAGACTGCTTTGTCGCTCTTGTAAGAGGAAGGAAGTGGATGTGCTCATTATTGGTGAAAGGACTCTCAAGTGCTCTGGGGTAGGATTTATTCAACTTGACATGAGCAACAGGATGTTGAGGTTCTGGTTGTGGATGACAAATTGCTTGGTTTCGACCTGCTGCTCGGATTTGACATTAAGAAATTGAGAGGAGCATGTGAGTCCAGTGATGGGACTGTAAGCTTTACTCAACTTGACCTACCTTTGTGTGTGGCTATCACCATAAACAAACCTGACTTTCATGCGGATATTACCAGAACAAGTAGACCTGGGTTGTGTCTTGGAAGTGGTCTGGTGGCCAAACAAATGAAGAACCAGAGAGCCGAGTATCCAGTACCAAAGCCGCTCAGGGATGGATACTGACTGACTACTTCTGTATCCTGAGGAAGAACTTGCCCCTCCCCACAGGGCCTGATCCCTCTAATTGCTGTGCTGCAGAAAAACAAACAGAAGGTCTGCCCAGTCATGGATTATCAGGAGATCAATCAGTATGTGGATGCGCACACTACAGATTCAGATGTCACTGTGCTGGATTTGTGTCATGCCTATTTGCAGATCCACATCGACAAATTGTTATAGCCCTTTCAAATGGTGCAAATAGATGGGCAAAGATATTGCCTCACCTGTTTGGGTTTTGGGCTCAACATGGCAATGCTGATCATTGTGAATGTCGGGGTCGCACAGTACACAAGACCATTCAGAGGCCATGTCCTCATACATCAATGACATATTTGTCAGTAAAAGTATATGCACTGTGGCATGTGTATAGATGCATCTTCAGCAATTCGGACTGACAAGTAAGAATCCAGAGTGTTTAGAGAATGGTATCCGTGTGCTGGTATTACATGGCCAGAAGTATGGATGGATGTTGGATTTAACGGCATGTCAATTCCTATTTGCTGGCCGGAAGGAATGAGGCAAATTGCAATGGAGTCATGGGAGTAACTTCCTGGCGCTGCCTAACATGCTCACTCATCAGAGCAACTTCTCCATGTGTGGGAAGTTGACTGGACATTTGCCAGTATGTGGCTGGCTCCATGTCGCAACTGCATTTATAAAACGGCGTGCAAACTCAGTGGTGACTGGCTGGGATGATGAGGTGTGTGATCCACTCCTGACTTGGATACTGATGGACATCATTACTAGATTGGCACAGAAGGATCCAACACAAAGCGATTGCTGTGTTGATGGATGTGAAGTTACCATGTGGGTTGATGCAAGCTCCTTGGTCACTGGCGTCATTGTGGAAAGCAGTGAAACCCTAGTTGAAGATGCCTGTTGGCTGTGATCAGGATGTGAAGACAAGCATATCAATCTGGCAGAGCTCAACATGATTTTGAGAGGTATCAACATGGCACTGCAATGGAGAGTGACTGTGGTGCACCTGAAGACTGACTCAATGTATGTGCATTGATAGGTTTCTGATATGCTGTCTGAAAAGTCTCAGGTGTGCATGAAAGCTGCAACAGAAATGTTGATAAGACATCGGCTCAGCACAATCAAGAAACTGGTGGAGGAATATAAATTGACTGTTGACATAGGGCTTGTCAGATCCCATGCAAACTGAGCTGATTGGCTCACTAGAGTGCCTCAACATTGGCTGGGTGAAGTTTGGAAAGAAACAGAACCAGTGTGCACCACATCTATTGAAGAGCAGTAATCAACCCACATTTAAGCTATCCATTGATGTAGTGGGCATTCTGGTGTGAAGCACACCTTGTACTTTGTAAAACAAATCCACCATGAGGTCCCAAAGTCAGCTGTTTGGGCAGTGGTTGGAGAGTGTGAAGTATGCTAATCCATTGGAAAGCTGAACGGTTGGATGTGTGCAAGAATTGGAGCAGGGTTGGGATGGACATAACACATTATGAAAGCCGGCATTACCTGACTGATTGACTGTAGCCCTAGTCAGTTTTCCATCTGGCGGCTGTTACTATATCAGGACGCTGCCAGCATCATGCGACAGCTGCAGTTGCTATTCTGCAAAAGAGGTCCACCTGCCAAGCTGCTCATCAACAATGGCACAGCAATTTGTGAAGCGGTATTAGCGAGATTTGCCGAGAACTGGGCCGTCTGACTTAGATTTCGATGTGCCTATCAACCATCAGGGAATGGTATCATGGAGAGATGCCATTGCACCATCAAGCATATTAGTGCTCGATCAGGATGTTGCATTATGGAGGTATTATACTGGTATAGCATGACACCAAAAGATGATGCAACAGCTTTGTCAGCACCAGCTAACTCCATATACAACTATCAAGCCCACATAAAAGGTGTCAATGTTGCACCACCAATTGAACATACAAATCCTGGAGTCTACAGAGTGGAAGATGTGTTTTGTGTAAAGACTCCCACATGGTCGATGTTCGATGCAATTCAAAAAAGGAACAGTAATACAGGTTTCATCAATGGAATGCCATGCCATATCAGAGACCTCCGTCCATGCCAGAGATCTGCTTTGTCAGAGGATGACATCAGTGATAAGTCATCTGAAAGCAATTCAGATTTGCCACTGTTTTTCAATGCATGGCCAGATTATTCACCTACAGAATCAGTGGAAACAGATGCTGGAGACAATGATGTTTTCAGTAGCAAAATAGACCAAGTGGGCACAAATACAGAAGAGACAGGCAGAGCCTGTCCACCTTTACATAGAAGTACTCAAGGAAGGTGACCCTCATCTCCATGTCATTTATGTGATCAGGAGATCAGGGAGGAGTGTAGAAGAGAATGACACCTTAATTTAAGAAAGACGCTGTTTCAGAGCTACGAGAATTCATGAGAGTATGCAAGAGAGGAGTACAGCGTTCGTTTTTTTTAATGTTGTGCTGCTTTTCAGTTGGCAGAGACTTGAACAGTTAGAAAGTGAATGCTTGGATCAGTTTCACACATGTAGGACTAGTGAAGTGATGCAATTTAAACAATGTCAGCACATGATTCAATGGCTAACTATAGATAGTAAGTAATCCTATCAATTTAATTTTTTAGGATTACAAATATCTCCTGCAAATGTCTTAACATAAATTTATATATATTCCTTTCTTTAAGCACAAAAGATAATAGAAACAAATTTTATAAAATCATATTTTATCTGTTTATGCCAGAGACTAAGGTAAAAAAAATGTGGAAGGTATAGTAAACAAGTGTTGATAGTTAAACTTTAACATTTCCGCTATAATAATTTGTAATATTTTGACAAAAGATAAAGTTTTTTTTTCTCTCCTATGGAACTTATTTGTTAATCGAGGAATACTTCAGTATATATTTTACTTCAATTTTGTCCTTTACTCATTCCAAATTTAAATTTGACATAGCAGCAGAGAACACATTACTAAATCTTATACAATATCAATAGCCTTGGCAGTTACAATACTTAAAAGTAGAAATATAGTAACTTATTAAGGAGATATAGTGAAGTATTTTAAGAGATTTCAGGAAATTCCCTATAACATATTACTAAATTTTTAGTTATTTTTATTGCAAGCATAAAAATAAAAAGAATTTGTACTTAATAATATTTAACGTCATGTTAAGGGGAGATAATTCATAAATTGTAACTGGTAAAAAATATTTTTTTAATCGTCTATGTATAATTATTGTCTGATGAAGGCTAGATGGCCAATATATGTATTGAATTCGAAATTTCTTTAAAAAAAAGAAGTTAAATTTAAACTCTACCTACAGAAAATAGCTTATCAGTGATTGGCACTAAAAAAAGTATATTTGGATTTTACCAAGAATTTAACAACTATTCTGAATAAACTAACATACAAAATAAATACCTTTACATTAGTAAGAAGAAAAAAATTTCTTTCAAAAATTTTAACATCATTTGTGGGACTATCACTCTTCACTTTAACCTTATCCATTATTTAAAATAAAGTCATCAAGTTTGGGCACAATATTTAAAATTATTCTGTAAACTCCTTTCAAAGATTGGTGAGGAAGTTTTACAATTTTAAAAAAAAACAAAGTTCATGTTTTGTCAGGTGATTTTGTTTAGTGTGATAAATTCATCATTTAAATATTTATATTTTGATAATGATCTAAATACAAAAAGTTCATACCTATAGAAAAACTGTTTCACTGTAAAGGAAACAGTTTGTTCCTAGTTATGAAATTTTTGTGTTTTGAAATTGTTTAGCATGCTGATTGGGATTCATTTTGTGATTTTCTTTGTAAGACATGTTGGAATGAAATTTTTAAGAGATTGTGTGACTGAAATTTCTTCTTGGATAAAATCTGGCATTGAAAATACCAGGTAAAATCACAATCTTAATGCTAAGTCTGATAGGTTTGATAAAGTCAAATTGACAGCTGATTTAAAAAAAATGACTTTCAATGATGTTAACTGGTGAAAGAAATGGCTTGTTAATTTTAACTCTTCCAAAATGAAACTGCTCTTTTTTAAATCATCTTAGAGAACCTTTCTTGCCTTCTATTGGAATGGATGAGTTTAAATTTTCAGGAAAGTAACTCTTTGTGCCTTCTCAGGCTAACATTTCCCACTGAATCAACTATATCAAATCAATTTCTACATCAGCTACAAGTAAAGTTGGTTTTAGATAGTTTTTCTTAACAGAATGGTAATTGCCAAGTTTACCATTCATTCATGCATTGAATATTATTGCCACATCTAGACTGGTGCTTTCTGCCATCCAAAGATTTCTGACAAAATTCAAAGAGTAATATGCAATATTATCAGTTGTGATCTGGCATCTCAGCTTCAGTTATTTTCCTATTACCATTATGTAGCTTCCTTGTAACTTTTTTAAAAAATATTTTCATGGTATCTCTTCTGATGAGCAGTTAGTAAGGTATTTCAACTACACAAATTTAAGTATGCAGTATTAGGTCTTCCAAATTTCACTGTTGAAATTGCTAGACGTAACCATAAGTTCTAATATTTTCTTGTCTTAATTCTCAGTTGTGGAACTCTCTTCCGGCTTTTTTGTTAACTATGATGTTCAAAAATTTAAATGTAACATCAATCGTCATTTATCTCTCTCCTTGAATCCTGTCCTTTTATTGTCATCTCTCCTCAATAATATTTTTGCTCAGATTATTTCATTTTAAAGCCTTGCTTGGGGGTGAATATAATTAAACAAAACCAAAAAACAAACCTTTTTCTTTAAGATAATGTAGATAATGATAAATTTAGATTTCTTTGAAAGTATTCGATATTTGATGTGCACTGAAAAATATAGGGCATTATTTTGAATATCAAGACCAAAGAATTCAGATCATATATAACTTATTTACCTTGCCAAACTTCTCCAAAGCAGCCATGACCAAGTTTATTTAAAAGTTTCACAGATTCTCGGCTAACCTCAATTTCTCGGAAATGGACAATAGGTCGTTCTTTAGGACACACTTTTGTTAATCGGCAACACAGACCATCAGCCTGTTCTGTAAGAAGATATTAAATGCAAAGAATAAGAAACAGTTCTTGAGGCCAATGGAATGTGAGTGACATAAGTGACAGTACTAGGAAAATTATATTATGAATGATTTCTTAACATATTTGCTACTGACTTGGAAAGAATATAAATATAAACATTCTATAGCAGGTACCAAAAAAATATAAATTGTAAGTATTAAAATAACAGATTACATGGCCTAATTATTAGTAGTATAGCAGTAAGTATACAAAAAAGCACAAGTCAGTCTTAGACTTGTGTATATATTATGCACACTTTTACAAGTATATCTAGTTATAATAGAATATCTGAATAGATGCTAAATAATGGCCAAATGTGTTTTTTGTTTTTTTTGTTCAAATATAAATTGCTTACAGAAATGATATATTTTTTATATACTTTTAGGATATCATGATACTGTAAGAATAATGTGTTCAATGTATGTAGATCAATAACAATCTATGTCAAAGAATCAGATCCACTGCAAATAGAATCAAAATCAATTACGAGTTTATGAATTGGTGCTTTACTTAAGGAAAAAGCCTATTTTTTTGTTTAATTTTAATTGTTCTGTCACATTTTATTAGAGAAACAGGATTACATTATTGAACTATTTGAGTCTGCAGCGGATAAAATATGATAGTCATATAAACTTATCAAAGCATTAGAAATAAGCAGACACACATGAGATTCCCATATCTGTATCTGATTTATTTCTGTTTAAAGGTACAAGAATGTAAGCCAGAAAGTTAATAACTACTTAAAACACTAATTTTATTTTTTCTGAGTTTTGGCCATTATTTTAGGAACAGAAGAATTGATCTGTCCTGCATCTTTGTCTGATTGAGATTCTTGGTTAAGTATATATGGCCTATATCAAACACAGATTATTTGGCAATCACTACAGATAAAATAAACACAAGTAAATATATTTGTCTATTTCATACTCAGTATGGTGGAAAGAAATTCCAACACCAAAAAGAAACAGTATTATCAATCATTACATACACAAATTAGTTTTTGTACCAATAGAAATTTTGCTTAAAAAGAAAAAGAAAAAAAAATTCACTTCATATTATAATTATACACTAAATCCTTCTAAGAAGAAAAGTGAAAAGCAAAGACTGAAAAGAAAAATAGAAACGTATATAATAATATAGCTAAAAAATACTAACATTTATGGGACAATACTTACGTGAATATTTGTTAATTAATTCTATCATGTCATTAAAAGTTCGGCGAGGACTGATAAAATATCCTCCTCGGTCTAAAGTGCGAATTCTGTAGTGTTTGACTGATATATCATTATTTTCCTGATCATAATCACGCACAGATAATACATAAGTTTGTTTATCTGCAAGAGAAAAAAATTTTTAAAACTTTAAACAGCACAGTCAAAAGATTTTTTGATTTTTCACATGTGGAGGAGCATATAATATAAATACACATATAAATTATTTATACAATTCAAAATGAAAAAAAAAAGTTTTGATATACAAAAAGCTTAAAAATAGTTTTCATATATTCATATTGTGAGTAGTTAATTAAAAAAGAAAAGAAAAAAAAAAAAAACATTATTCATACTTTCCTAGACTCAAAATTTTGGACAGTATTTTATTTTTTGGAAAGAAATTTATAAAACAATAATTCCTTTTTATATACAGTCTATACTGTTTGATTTATATAGTATAAACACTTATTGAAGTGTATAATCTGGTTTACTCTTTATCAAAATTGTAGCTGTTTAAATAGGTTTTGTTTTTCTATGTTCACCTTAAGTGATTTTATTATTAGCACTCATAAAGCAAGCATACTTTATCAACAAATACCCCCATGCACACAAATATTAAGAATATTTTAATAAATAAGTTTTTTTTTCTAATGCAAAGAGTTAAACCCATTTTAATTGGTTGTGTTCAAGAAGATTTAATGGTAAACCTTTTTTTTACCAAACAAATTGGTGTCCAGTTTCTAGGTATTCATTATCTACTTGAAAAACCTAGACACATTTATCTTGGAGACATGAGATTAAAAAAATCTTTTATAGAATTTGAAAAAATAATAAAAACAAATTGTCATTTTTTTTAAAGGGACACAACTCTCAATAGCTCATCTTCTATATAATAAATACCAATGTCACCGTGTCACACTTTTTCAATTAAAGGGACACAACTTTCAATAGTTACAGAAATTTCGGATTCCTAAGTTTTCATGACTGCGATTAAATTGAATTAAAGGATGAAACAGGGCTTGATACTTTAATTCAATTTAATTTTAATAATTATATTGAGGTTTTTGGCTCTTGTTTTTGAAATATGAGAACTCTTATGTAGCCAAGGAATCATATTTTTAAAAAAATAATTATATATATATATATATATATATATATATATATATGTATTGCCCCTATTGAATCTAAATTTCAATGTCAACTATTAAAGTGGGTCAAGAGTGGTTTAATCTCCTCTGAAATTTCAGAGTTAATTAGACCCACTGCGTCTATTCGTTCCCGTTTGTATGGGTTACCTAAAATCCATAAGGATGGTGTTCCTTTACGACCCATTCTGTCCATGATTGGGTCTTCCCAGCATAAAGTCGTTAGTTGGCACTCGAATGTGCTACAACCAGTTTTGTCGCACTTCAGTACATATTGTATTAAAGATTCCTTCTCCTTTGTGGAAATTATACGTTTTTCTTCTACTTATGGTGGGTTCATGTGTTTGTTTGATATCTGCTCCCTGTTTACATGTGTTCCCCTGTCTGAGACTATTGAGATGTGTTGCAATATGTTGTATCATACCTCTTTGTCTCCTCCGGATTTTCCTGAGGGTGTATTTGTTGAGCTTATGATGTTCGCCACTGCGTCTGTCGAATTTAGTTTTAATAATATTATGTATTGGCAGATCGACGGGGTAGCTATGGGTTCGCCTTTGGGTCCAGCGTTGGTGAATATTTTTGTCGGTTTTCACAAGGCTTCCTTATTTACTTTTATTGGTCGCCCTCTTATGTATCATCGTTATGTGGATGATACCTTCTGCCTCTTTAATAATGAGGCTGAAGCCGACAAATTTCTCACCAAATTATACTCTGTCCATCCTGCTCTTCAGTTCACCGTAGAAAAGGAGTCCAATTCTTGTCTTTCCTTTTTGGATGTTCTTGTCCATAAGATTATTGACAAGTTTGAGACATCTGTATTTAGGAAGGCCACTTTTTTGGGACTTTATACGCATTGGGAATCTTTTTGACTCAGACAACGTAAGATTAATTTGAATAAGGCCTTAATTCACAGGGCACTTGTTATGCTCTGAGGGCCTTCTCTGCAGTGAAATTGACTTTGTTAGAATGACACTATCAAAAAACGGATATCCGTTGGATGTTTTAGACTCCGTTATTCAAGATGTCATCAGTAAATTCCATAGGGTGAAGCCGCAATTAGCTGATAAATGCCCAGTTTATTTGCGTCTTCCCTATATTGGTACAGAGGGTGAGAGTTTATTGAAATGTATTTCACGTTTAATCAATAGTTGTTATTTTTCGATGAATGTTAGGGTAATATTTGTTACCTGTCCTGCTTTCTTTTCCATTCGTAAGGATGTCCTCCCTCCCCATCATGTTAATTCAGTGATTTACCAATACAAGTGTAGCTGTGGACACGACTACATAAGGAGGACGTCCCAGCGTTTGGATTCGAGAATAAGACAGCATTTACCCCCCCCAGGATTTTGAATACATCCTCCAGGAATAGCCAACTGACTAACAGTTCTGGTTCTGCTATTGCTGAACATTTAATAAATAGAAGGAAATGTGTGGAAAACTTTAGTGGTGATCAATTTATAATTTTATCTAGGTCCCACTTGTTGCGAATGCAGATAGCCCAAACATGCATACACGCATATATTAAGGTTAATCTCCGCTTGACGACAGAAGAGATCACGTGGGAGTCTCAAGTTATTTTGGGGAAGCAGGTCAAGAGGTTGACTGACCCAGTTACCCGTAGCAACAGACGTCTAGACAGAATCTAGACAGGGGACCGATGTAAGGTCACGAAGTAGCAGGAACTGGAATTCGCGCCAAAATGCAGGACATGTGGGAATTAGAAAATTATTTGGAAGTCAGTTGCTGTCTTGTCTTTGAAGGAGCAAGACTCAAAATTGAAGCGCTGATAACTTATGAACGGAAAGATGAGACTCATTTTGGTAATGATGGAACTTGTCCGATTCATCATAAGCAACTCCGGATAAGAAATATAAGGATGTATATTTCTGTTCGTCAACTCCAGATTGAAGAAGATAAATCGAGTTATTTATCACAGAAGACGCGAGGAAATTTGCACGCTGAGAATACAGCCTGTGTTTGAAGAAAGAAAAAAGAAATCAAGAGAGAAGAAAGTATATATCTCTGTTGCACCCGGACCGTGTTTGAAATTGAATTTGTGTAAAGAAAAGAAAAGAAAGAAAAGAGGAAACGTGAGAGAGAAAAGAAAGGATAATGAATAAGAGAGAGAAATGAATATAAAGATAAGTAACTATATATTTTGAACCCGTGTTAGAAAGATACACATGCATCCATAAATTTTATGTTCTCACAAACACCTTTCCACATGTCAAAATAGTAATATATAAATCCTATCCCATCTCTTTTTTTTTGGTTATGCATTGATTTCTGCATTCGTAGTTATTCATTCTTATTTTTTTTATCCGTTCGGGTTCAGTTGAATCCACTTGGATTTGGGCATATTTTGGTATCCCAACATAAGTTTTGAGGTTCTGGTCGCCGGATGCTTTACTCATGCTTATATTTTTCTTTTATTGTAATATCTTGTGTATATGTATATATTAAAATTCTTATACCAAAATTAATTACGCCTTATCGTTCATCCTTGAATTGTGGATCGGTATATGTGTTGAAACTGAAGCGAATCTGGGAAAAGACTACTGTTTGATTATCTCAATCGAATGGTGTTCTTTAAAATATTTTTGTTTACTAATTGTCCATTTGTCATGGTCTGGGAGAGAGAGTCCATATCTCTCCATAGACGTGATAACGTATATATCTCCTGGTCGGCGTATGATTGTGTTATAAATTATTCGTCGAGTAGGGCATATGACACACTCCACATTTCACCTCAAGCTTCTAGAGTCCTTGTATATCAGATCCCATGAGCCTTCCCTTTGTAAACAGAGGGAATGCTTGCTAGGTCTGAATATTATTGAACTCTAGTTTCTTGAAATTCATAATTTTTTTTTCCCCCCCCATTTGATTACATTCGTTAATTAAAAATTAATTTACACGCTTTTTAAATTCCCAGAATAAATAAACTTGATAAGTTCTGGGATGAAACCGGTTGTTTTTATTTTAGCTTTTTCTTTTAAAAATGCCTTATAAATATTGTCTTTTCCTATCTATTATTAAATTCTGTACCATGAAAAACTTATATATATATTAGTTTATGCAAAACGAGGTAATCCGTATGGGTAGACCCAAGGAGGATGATATCCGGAGAGCTCAATGTAAATTCAGAGCAAATATGTTTGAATAAAAAACAGACCACTTTAAGGTTCCATGTAATAAATTATTTCACCACAGCCCTTTTAAAGGGCTCTGGATTTTTTCATTTCAACCTTTGGAAGTAAAGTCTGATGATCCAGAGCCCTTTAAAAGGGCTGTGGTGAAATAATTTATTACATGGAACCATAAAATGGTTTGTTTTTTATTCAAACAAATATATATATATATATATATATATATATATATATATATATTGATCAATCACAAATTTGATCAAATTGACAGTTTTTTCATTTTCAATGATGTATTCTCTTTGGGCGTGAAATTTTGGGAGTGGGGACCAAAGTGAAAAACAATTTTTTTAAACTCTTTATAAAGGCTATCAATTCTGAAGAGATAATCACAGTGCAAGAAAAATAAAGTCAATGAGATAAAAGTTCGATATTCAGGGGCAAAATCTTTTCCTGTGTGCATTTTGCAATGTGTGGTTGTCATGCAATACACCTTTCTGATTACTTAAAGACTGATGTAACATGATTGACAATAATATTTCTCAGAATTAACTGCTACATTATAATTCAATCCTTCATGGTATGATAGATGGCACCCTTCATATCCCAAAGGCAATATTACCTTCTCAAGGTGTAATCTTGATTTTGATACAAGGGAAGACTTTCCTTGAGTCATAACCATTGTCTTTCATGGAATGATTATAAAGGATCCACTTTTCAACACTTGTGATAATCCTTCCCAGAAATGGTTTTGTAGCATGTTTTGTCTTTAATGCTGCACAGATGTTGACTCTGATGAAGTTCAGAACTGGTCAGATTGTGTTCAAAATTCCCTGAAGTTTACACTGATTGACAAACATTTAAAGAAGGTGAGAGGGCATAATGGCCAAAAAGTTTTGATAGGAAGAACTAAGATAAGGACATTAGTCTGACTTACAATCAGACTAATGATAATGCCTCATCTTAGAAAGTCAGACAAAGTATTTTCTAACAGGTTATTTTTGCTGTTTTTAACTTAATATTACAATACTAATCTTTGAAATGCTTCATCTAAAAATAAAATAAAAACCTTTCAATGTTATTTTATTTGGGGTTCTTTCAGTAAAGCCAAATAAAATAATTTGCAAAACTTTAAGCTACTTCTGAGTTTTGTGTTAATATCCAGAAGTTAACATTTTTAGAGAAGAACAGTCTGGTTGTCATTGGAAAATCGATTGAAATTTCATATAAAATTTTCATGACATACTAAGACATGGAAACTTACCTCCACTGTAGCGCACAAGAAAAGTGCCAGGGACATTTCCAGGGAGGAGAAGTTGTTTATCTGCTTCCTTCCTGTCAAGATCTTGCCACCAACTATGTAAAAGAAAATCAAATTCAGTTACATTAAAACATTTGAAAAACTAAAAGCTAAATATTATAAAAATCCTTATTTTTTACTGTTGTTTTTTTTAATTCCTAAAGTGTGATATGAACTGATTAAAGGAAAAATAAGTTAGCTAAGTAAATTAGACAGTCAATGTATTTTTTTTATATATGTCCTATATGAAATATATAACTTTCTTTTTTCTTTTTTTTTTTTAGAGAGGAAGATAGAGACAGCAAGAGAGATACATTTTATATGTAATTTGGATAAAGTTCATTAGACTTGAAATAGGACTGTGTAGTTGAAATATAGAATATTCTAAAAAATTTGATCTGGCTCACAATATTACCTTTAATCATCATATTGTTTTTAACTAAAACTTTTTACTTTTTCTTTTTAGAGTGTGTGTGTGTGTGTGTGTGAGAGAGAGAAGTCTGCTGAAATTATTCTGAGGCTATTTTTTCTACATCATAATTTATTTAAGAAATAGAAAAAGAATCCTTGTTATATAATTGTGTTATATGTGTGTACTTACATGGGAAAGATATATGCAAGCTGTTTTATTTTCTGCTTGCTAACCTTACAATCATGGTATCAGTTAATTCTTGAAAGAACAGACTAAAAGAATTTACATTTTGCCAAGTCAGATCAACTGGATAAGGTTATTTAAAATTTAATGACTATAAATTATATAATTCACGAAATATATTTACTTTTATTTTTCTATGATTTGCAGTATTTTCAGCTATAACATATTTCTACCTTTTGAATCCAGAAAACTTTTTACTTGATGGAGCAGAATGTCAGTTACCTGATTAAATAGATAATTAAGGAAGAAAGAAGATTACACAGTACTAGTACTTACTCTTGGGCTTGTGGAGAATTATCATCTTTGGTCACATAATTACTTGGAATGTAACCTTTTTTTTTGGTAGTCAAGTGATAAGCAACCCACCAATCACAACTTTGTCTGAAAATGAATAAAAAATTACAATAATAATGGTCTTTGCAATCATTATTTCTTTCTGACATATGATGTTATTTTACAAATTAATTAATATTTACTGGTAAGTTTAGTGCAAATCATGTATAAGTTACAAAGAATTGCACAGCAGGAAATGAGATTTTTATGCACCAAGAAATTCAAAATCTGCATTGTTATGCTTATATAAAAGCAATTTCACTTAATAAGGAAGCTCAAGTAATTTGCTAAAATAGAATTACAATTTCAGATTGTAAAAATTATATCACATGATTTTTTCGATGGTTCTAGACATAACTAAATTCTAAATATAAATTCATTAAACTTATAAAGTATTTGTAAACAAATTTCTTCAGATTCCTCAGTAATTTTATTTTAAGTAGAATAACAGTGATAGTATGCAAAGTCAACTTGAGTAGTAACAATGAAAATAATTATCAGAAGTGCTTTGCTGTTTAAAACAATAAAAGGACTAACTGCACTGAGAAAGTGATGTGAAAGATCAACTTGAAATCTACAAGGGGTGGTGAATGGTTTGTAGCCAACCCACTTTTCAAAATTTGACCAAATGAGCATATATCAGAATTTTGAATCTCTTCTTGATCAGGCAGAGAACCTTTCAACACCCTGTCTTTGAAACTGAACAATAAACAGCTTGTTAAAGATGTCAACATTTTTAACAGATGAAATGCAACCATGAAATGGAAGAAGATAGAACAAGTGTAAGATAGATTCAAAATGGAATAATTTTGCATCCAGAAGGAAAAAAGATTTGAAACTTTATTTCAAAATAAGCACACATTACATATAAAAATTTTATATACATTTTTTTCTTTTCAGAAAATGTGTGAATGTTGGCTCAAATTTAAATATTCTAATGTCAAAATCACACCATTCTTAGTGTGTGAACATTTTGCTTGATTACTGTTGCTTTGCCTTACATATACTGGTTGCTCATGTTTTTTGGCCTGTTCATTTTTTTCTCTTGTTATTGTTTATTAGCAACTTTGTCAATTCTGTTTGTTGGGCATTTCTGCCAATTACATTTAATCATGACCAATTAATCAACACAAATGATATAATTCTTGGCATTTCTATGATGTCAAGTTGTAGTAGTAGTACCATATAACATTCCATTTATATATTGCTATACCATGATTTATGTCATTATGGCATGATATTGTTTACTGAAGATCTTTTATAAAACAGGATTTTAAAATATTTTTTTTACAAATTAATAAACAAGTCATTTTTTTTAATAAGAAAAACTGATAAAGACAGTTAATGAAGATATAATCAAAATCATTGTCTGTAAAAAAAAAAATACAAGCAGAACCAACTATAGAATATTAAAATGAATTTTAATTATTTTGAGGAAGAATTGGGCAAAATTTAATTTTTCAGAGAAAGTAGTTAAAACAATCTTTGACAAACATACTGAGAATGTACTGCCATATAGTCAGTTTTGGTTAAAGATATTTTCAATGTCACACTATGAATTCCTGGCCAGATTTTACAAGTAAGTGTTAGAAATTTTTTTTTTTTTTTGATATATATTCCAAGAATTGGAAAGGGGTCCTAAATAAACACAGATACCATGTTTTTGTCTCTATCCTTGAAAAGCTGACAAAGAGAAGATAATCATCGATATATTTTTTGTATGCTATTTTAGCATCCTGATACCACTTTCTTATCAATGCTGAATTTTGTACAAATCTGTGCAAAAAGTGGATCAAAGAGCTTACCCAGTTTCATACATATTTTCAGGAAATCTCAACTTCTAATTGGTCAATAAACACACAAGTGGGTGTTGCAATTCTAGCGCGTGACCAAGTCAAGTTTTCCCGCTTTTTTTCCAGGAGCCTACCACGTGATTAAATTAATTATAAATATCAGACACGAGTTCATTCTCTTTCTCTTTTCTTTCATTCACCTACGAAAATGTAACCTTAAGGAAATTGCATTGCAACCCCATTGCAGTCGAACGCTGAAAACATTCACTCATGCATGTATGTATGAAACATTTCCAAACCAGCGACAAGAACTTTTCTCTTTAAAATACTCTGATCAAGCTTTCACACACATCTTTACAAAACAAAATTGTAATATTCTGCATATAAAAAATTTATTTGTTGTTCCAATCATATCCTTTTTGTTGTAATTGAATATCGTTATCATTTGATTTTTATTTAAATTTATGTTTGTAGATATTGCATATTTCACCAACAGCAAAACATTAAAATATTCATGCAGCCTTCTTAGATCCACAACACTATCTATTAAAGGAAATTAAATTTTTAAGTCCATTTTTGGAGATCTGAGAGGAAACATAAATCCAGTTAAGTTTTATTTTCATTGTCTATTTCTGAGTGAGTAACAAAGTAATCTCTTAAAAACAGATGTGCATAGATAAAGATGAAATGAATCCTCTGCTACCAAAAATATATATTATTCAATGTCAGTAGTAATCGGCAGATGATTGAGAGTGAGTAATCTTGGGCGTAACTGGTCAGTTTTGACCTGTATGAGTTGTTAACTAGGAAAGGAATCCTTAGTGCAACAATATTTTCTAAAGAATGTTTGATTGTATCGGTAAATAAAAAAATTGAAAACAGCACTTTTTTTCTTTACTTTGGGTAATGCCAATGATCCAGTTTTCCATTTTTCTTTGGCACTCCTCAATTTCAACTAATATATACAAGCTATCATCTTTAAAAATCAGTACAATGTGGGGAAGCTAGTAAGTAGGTAGTAACACTCAATGTTTCTCTTAGTCATGTATACACTTCTGTAGAATATTCATAATCATGATTATGTATTTAGTGATCAGCTAACCATTTTAATAAACATTTACTTTTCAAAATCTCTAGAAGTACCAATAAGACATTACAATGACTTACCCAGTTTCTTCAATTTCAAGTCGGTCACCTTTTTGGAAAGACAAGTCTTCTTCAGTGATGGCCTCAAAATCATACAGTGCACGAACAATAACAGCATCTGGAAAATTTCCCCAAAAAATATAACATTGAAAAGCAGAAGAGTTTATACATTTTTATTTTATTAAATGTAATTATTTCATAAAAACTTATTTCCACTGCTTCACCAGATTAAGATACAAAATTGATTGAAAGTGAAATAAAACTGAATAGAAAAACATTTAACATTAATCAGTATACATATTTAAAATTCAAATTTTTGTTTGTCATTTTAAAAATATGTCCAATTACTTTTAATGTTATTCATCTGGCTAAGTCATTGAAATATTAGTTATAAACATTTAAATTATACTAGAAAATGCATTGAATGCACCTCTGCAAAGAGGCTTCTAAAAATAAGAAAATCAGCAAAAGATTTGCTAGCTGATATTTTAAAACTGATATTCACTAAATAAAGATTATAAGAATTTCTTAAACATATATAACAAATTTTTAAAGTTTAAATACAAATTTTAACACCAATATACAAAATATATAAAGAAAAAATATGTTTAGATAGTGACTGTAAAATCATATGCAGACTAAACAGTTTTGGTAATTATTTTTTTCATAAATATCAATAATTAGATTTTAAGTTTATGAACCTGTTGCCTTACAATCACCTTGTTTATCTGCTGATGACATGTACAAGAAAAACTATAAGCCAGTTTTAATACAGTAAATGAATATGTATCAGGATTTTGAATGAACTATGCATTGCTTGTAACATAAATCATTACCAGCAATAACTTTTGAATGGACTTCTTTATTCCTAAATAACTCATTTTTCCCTTTCCCTCAAAAGAGGAAAGGGAAAGTAATTTTCATTATATGATTTTTTTTAAAAAAATTATTAGAAACATTTGGAATATTCAATATTTTCAGTGATAAAAAAACTAAATCCAATGATGATATACAGTGTGAGAAGAAGTAGATTCATTTCTTTTAATAATCTCTTCCAGAATTTAAATTTACGCAGTTCATGATTTCTATTCTGTATAAAAACTATGGCACCTCAGAGCTTGTTAATATTTCCTTATATAAACTATCTTTAGATATTCTATATTATTTTTGTTTTAGATATATGAAAAGGAGGCTGAAAAGTTCTCCAACCAAACAAGAAGGGATTTAAAAAGAAAGAAAAGATTTGGATGTTTGGTTATCACCAAACATCCAAATCTTTTTTTCTTTTTAGGAAGTGAGCCAGGCTGAGAACCTTTCAGCACCTCTTTGTATATATACTTGTAAAGACTGTTAAAGATTCAATGCCTAAAAAATAAAGAGAAAAAAAATTCCAACATTTACTAAATAATTACTTACAACCATGAATTATTAAAAAAATAACAAAATTGAAGCCATAAAAATCATACAAAAAAAAACTTTGTTACAGCAATGACAAATGTGTTTTTACAGTGAAAAAATAAGTTTCTTCCCTATCATATCATATTACTAGAAATGAGTATCAAAAATTAATATCCTGGGAGTGGTTGTATATAATCAGTAGGAAATGGAGGCATTAACTTTTACATGACAAAACAGCAGGTGGGTGTACATTTGAAATAGGTAGGGCTAAGTTAAAACCATTTAGAAGTAATTACAATCACTGGTCTTTTAAATGTATACTTGAGCTTATTTATATTCTATGTAAGATTTGAGATAGAAGTTATTATTAAAATATTAACTCTGTATAACTTTTTAAAAACATTGATCTAAAGTTAATTTTAGTATCTAATTTAGGAGATCCTTACCAAAAAATGGCAAAATGGTTTTAAGTAATTTGGCTATCACAAATAGGTTTTATGAAAAAAAAATGATTTCAGCAAAATTTGATTTCTAATTACTTGCATAATTATTAGTTAAGATTATTTCATCTGTATGATTTTTAGGTATCCACTATATAATTTTATATTGCTTTTGTGTGAAAAGTAATATATACTGAAAAAGTTGCTAAATTTTTAAGTTGATATCAACATCTCTGGAGCAAGTTAATAGAGATTAATTTATTGGCAAAAAAGAGATTACACTTAATTTATCAATAATTTCTACTTTATTCAACTATTTTTTAATTCAATAATAACATATAAAGAAAGTCTTTTTTCAATTTTTTACCAAAAAAAATAGACAAAATGAAAAATATACAAAATTTAACAAACAGAAGAAACAGCTATAAAATGTTTATAGCATTTTTTATTTAGTTTAATATTAAAGTGACATTTTGTCAGCACATTAAATAAAATTAAGCCTAGTCATTATTATTTTTGCAAACCTGTGGCACTAATGATTTAAATGATTTTATTAATTTATCTTCCAATTCAAGAATTCCATTCATTTTCTTAGGATGATTTTCTTCACATTTTTATATACAACCAGCTTAAGTGCATATAATTTGGTGGTTTTATGCTTTATAGATAATAATGAAATAGATTAATCTACAATATTATGCCTGTCATTTAATAAAGTATGTATGTTTTTATTTCATCAAAATAACCAGAGTGATTTCAGTACAGCAGTCAAATTTTTTTCAGTTAAGTTTAAGATTATATTATTTTGAAAATTAATAAGCTTTAAAAACCAAATATATTTATAGTCAGAAGATAAAATTTTAAATAGTATCAAAAGTAAAAATGGTTAACAGTTGCAACTAGGGTTTCACTTGAAAATGGCTTCAAATTTCAAGTACTTTTGAGGTGAGCTGTTTGATCTTTTATTCTAATCTTTTCTGTTTTATTATGCTTTGGTGAAGGCATACTTAAGGAAAATTACAAAATGCATGGGTTGAAATCTATGATAAAAATCAACAAAAATAATAGTTCTCACAACTTGAGAAATTTATGCATTATTCCCCAGTGATATTTTAATTTGGTGCAATAAAGAACAACAATTCTATAGTCTAGATACAATCAAGCATTTAATCAATTAAAACACCCTTCAATAGAATCTTGTTAGGGCTTTTTTTTTCTATCTTAAAGAATTTCAGAGTCAAATTCTTCCCTACCTTGACCAGTAAGTCAATAGAGAGAAGAGGAAAATAAATAAATAAACAAAAGAAACCCATGATTAGCTGTCATGCAGGTCAAAATGTTAACATGGCAATGGAAGAAACAAAGCTATTAGAAACTACTATAAATTTAAAGCAATTTTTGGGGGTGCTTAAAAATGAAAGAAAATCAAGCATTAGATAAGGTACAGCACAAAGATCAATTTGGACTTCTAGGAAATCTTCATTTATTTGTGAAAGCTAGAATAATCTGGAATATTTACTGGGAATAAAACTGCCTGTATAGATAGAAAATGAATTAAGCAAGCACACAAAAATAAAGGGTAAGGCAATCCTAAGAGAACTACAAGTGATACAGGCACAAAGTTACTACAATTGATTAGAATGTTTTATCGTATATACTTCTTGACATTCCTCTGCATTCAAGGGGATATTCATTTTTTTTTTTTAAGTGAAAGTGAATGATATGGGTGTGCCCTATTATGATTCTTGATAAGACAACATCTTGCCAAGAAAGTCTGAGACTATGATGCCATTCTCTGAGAATGGGTTTAATTATGTAAAGTTTATTATTTGGGTTGGAGTTCCATAGTTCTTGCCACTTGTTTAGAATTTATAATTGCTTTGAAATCAGTATAGGGGATTTATAAGGATTTGTTTGCTGCCATGCTAGCTTTTTCATTTCTGAAGATGCCATTATGGCTAGGTACACACTAGAAGACTAGTTGTTTTTTTCGGGGTTTTTTTTTTTCAGATGAGATTGATCCTGTTTTGGTAATTTAATGATTATATGGACTATTTGTGTTTTTGTTTCACTGTGATGTAAATACGGATTATGAACATGAAAAAAATATGAAGTTTTTTGGCTCCATTGTCTGTTTTGATGTCTAAAGTTAAAACTATAATTAAAAATACAGGATTTGCCAGATACGCATTTTTTTTATTGTTATGTTGTCAAGAACGGTTGAAATCCAACATTATAAATGTTTTTTGAGCCATCAGTATATATGTGCTTAGTTTAGATGCACCCATAAAATAATATCAATTTCTTCTAAAAGGCTAGATGGACTGGTATTGGTTTTAAGGAACTTGGAAAGTTTTAGTAAAACTGTTGATTGTTTTATTAGCCAAGGTAGGTTTTTCTGAATAGTAGATTCAAGGATTAGGATAGTGTCTATTTGTAATTCATTAATAATGTAATAGTTGAAAAGATTGATGACTTTTATTTTGTTTTTTCTTGAGGAAACACTGGAATGTAGAGTTATTTGGATGGGAATGTAATTTAGTATAGTCTTTCAGGAATTTGTAATGGATTTTGGCAGGGACTGATGCAGAATTAGACCATTTATTTAGGGACTTCACTAGTTCTGATAAAGAGAAAGGTTGGTTGCGATCTTTTTTGCTTGAATAGTAATTTCTTTTTTTTTGTTTGTTGGTAACCTCAGTGTTGTTTTGTGATAGATGTTTCAAGAGAGAATACTTTTGTATTTACCAGAGATTTTACAAATCATATTCCAAACAATTTTGATTTTTGTATTGGAACTGATATTGGATAAAAAATTTTTCCATGAAGTTCACTTGGCGTTTTTAATTTTTTTTTTTTAGTTTTTTGTAGTATGTTCTTTGTGTGTTAACTTTACTTATTTTGAAATGATTTAGATTTTCAGGGGATGGGTGTAGTTTAAATTTACAGAATGCAGGGAATTGTGATCTAATAGCTTTTTTCCATTCATTGTCAAACCATGATCTGTCATGTTTGGGGGATTTTGATTTTAGTTTGCATTGTTCTGCTATGTTCTTGTAAAGTGACTGATATGATATTCATTATTTATGTTTATTTTTTATTTTCTTCTTGTATCAATTGTGTTTGACATAGTCCCTTAAGGCCCAGTTAGATTTTTTTAAGTTCCAGTGTTGAGTTAGTGTCTTTGTTTTTTGGTGCACTCAAGTATGATTGGGAAGTGGTGTCACCATGTTTGCTAGTAATATTTGAGAGCAAGTGTTGGATTACTTAAGCTGAAGTC